CCATCTTCACGCCACCATCCGCCAGGGCATCCAGAGCCGTGAACGCCTGTGGGGAGAAGGGCCCTGAACCGCCGTCCTGGCCTCTCCTCCGGGCAATGCCCTCGGGGCCTGGCGCAGGGAGGAGGGGGAGGAAGAGGGCAAAGCGCCCGCTGGTTCCCACAGCCTTGCAGCCCTCACACCAGCCTCCCCAAGGGAGCAGGAACAGGTGTACACTGAGGTCCTGGGACGTGCCCACTGCCACCAGCCGCCCACGGTCCTCACGTAGGCAGGGCCGCTGCCGCTGAGCCCCGTGACGGCGTCGATCAGGTCCTCCTCCACCTCGGTGCAGAAGCCCACGCTGCCCAGGAGCTGCTCGAGGAGCCGGCCGTCCTCCACCTGGGCGTGCGTGCCCGTGGCGTACACGGTGGCCCCCTCGCGCACCACAACCGGGGTGTTGGTCATGCAGCGGATGACCTTGGGGGCCGGCTGGAACACCCTCAGCTTCTGCAGGAGAAACCAGCTATGTCCTGGGAGGCCGAGGCGGGCGAATTGCTCAAGGTCAGGAGTTCGAGACCAGCCTGAGCAAGAGCGAGACCCCGTGTCTCTACTAAAAATAAAAACAAATTAATTGGCCAACTAAAAATATATAGAAAAAAATTAGCCGGGCATGATGGCGCATGCCTGTAGTCCCAGCTACTCGGGAGGCTGAGGCAGGAGGATCGCTTAAGCCCAGGAGTTTGAGTTTGCTGTGAGCGAGGCTGATACCACGGCACTCTAGCCCAGGAAACAGAGTGAGACTCTGTCTCAAAAAAAAAAAAAAAAAGAAAAAAGAAAAGAAAAGAAACCAGCTATGTCCACCCTGGCCTCAGGTGTGGCATGTCTACACGGTCCCCCACCTGCAAAGTGCTGAGTTCTGCCGTGGGCCAGGGCACTGTACCCCTTTCAGAGAGAACTGAGCCTCGGGAGAGCCAAGGCGCCTGCCCACTCTGCAGCACACGCTGGCCCTCACCTTCTCAATGGAGCTGATGGTGACGCCAGCCGCGCAGGACACCACGATGTGCCTGTCCTCGATGTCGGCGCCAATCTCGTCCAGGATGAAGGGAATGATGTGTGGCTTCACGGCCAGGAACAGCACGTCACTGTGCTGCACCGTCTCCTTGTTGTGGGGTGTCAGGTTCACCCCCAGCTTCTGTTGGGGGGGGACCAAGGTGGGCTGAGCCTGCTCCTCTGGCTGGCTGTCCCCCCTCCCCAGCCTCCTCCTCCGGGTTCCCTCCAGGCACGAGCCCTGCATGGAAATCAGCAGAGGCTCTGACCCTCCCCCAACTACCCTCTCTGCTCTGGATTGTGTCCCTTTTGCAGAAAGGGGGCACTCCATCTGTGTCACAGGCCTGGCTTAGCCCACCCTGGACTGCAGCCCCCTCAGACCCCCGGCCTCCCGGTGTGGGTGGTGGTGCCCAGCTGGGTGGCTGCCCCCACTCTGGCAAACCAAAGCTGTGCTCAGTCCCAGGTGGGCTGTTGGGCCTCCAGGCTGTGGCCCCAGAGGACACCTGCTCAAAGTTTAACCCTGTGCAGGGAACCCCATTCCACACCAACACCCCTCCCACCAGCAGTACACACGCCCACCACCCAGGTCCCAGAGAGCCTCCCACGGGAGCCACAGGTGGGGCCAGGAGGGTCTGCCCGACACCCCAGCGAGGTCCCTGCTCACCAGGATGGGGCTGCAGCACCCCACCCCACCCCCACTCCTGGACCTCCACTGCCAGGAGGGTCACACCCCACCACCACCCTGGGCAGCCCTGTAGAGACTCAGCCTCCCTGCCTGTCCTCCAGCCGGCTCCTACCCTGAGAGCAGACACCGTGGCCAGGTCCATATCTGGGGAGCTGGCCGTTATCTTGTGGGCGGCCAGGACACCTGTGGGGGGACACAGCTCCTTCCTCAGGGCCCGTTCTGGCCTCCCTCCCTCACATTCCCAAGAAGGGGAGTGGAGAAAAATCCCACGTCCCCTCCTAACCAGCCCCAAACATATGGCACCTGCCACTTCCCGCAGGACTGGCCTTGTGACCCACACCGCACGTAGCGCCCACCCAGACCCGGGGCTTACCTGCTGCTGTGAAGCCCCTGGCCAGGGCAAAGGCCAACTGGCCAGCCCCAATGAAGCCCACGCTCATGATGTCCAGAGGCCCCCTGCCCACAGCCCTCAGCGCTGGCACGGCTCTGTGGGGACAGCTGCGGGACGAGACCGGGCGGGACACGTTCGAACACGTTCGGTGGGCAGTGCCAGGCTGTCAATCGTCCGGGGGCCGCGCGCCTCTCGCCCAGGCGCCACCCCTTTTCCGCCCAACAGCCCCACCCACAGCGGCCCCAGGCCTGCAGACGAGGGTCAGACCCCTCGGGCAGGGTCCAGGCGCCGAACCGGGGCGCCCCCGGGAAGCGGGGAGAGCTGGCGGGCGGCAGCCGGTGGGCTCCATCCGGACTCCCGCCCCGCCCGAGCCAGGGGCGCCCAGGCGCATCTCCTTCCGCCCCGCGGCCGCCGCCCGCCAGCCCCAGACCCCGAACCCGACCCCAGCCCAGCCCAGCTAACCTGCGCGAGGAACCCAGCAGCTGCGCCCGCCACGCCGCGCCCGCCACGCCGGCCACGCGGCACCCCACCAGCCAGCCCCGCCCCCGCCCCCCCAGCCAATCGGGAGGCGCGGCCGCTGGGCGCTGGCCAATCGGGAGCTGCGCCGGCGCCCGGGCCGGTTGCATCATCCGCGCCCCCGCCCACGCCAGGGCTCACCAGCCCCTCTACCCCGCGCGCCCCCCGCAACCCGCGGACCCGCGTCTCCCCGCGCGCCCTCCAGACACGCGCCCCTCGGACATGCATCTCCGCCCGAGCCCCCCGACCCCGGGACCCGCACGTGGGGGCTGAGGGCTCCGAGCGAAGGGGGGCCCGAGGGGCCCTGCGAGGAGCTCCCCACGCGGGGCCCTGCCGTGCGCTCGGGCTGGGGTCCCTGCGCGCGTGCCGGCGCTCGCGGGAATCAATACCTTTCGCCGGCGCGTCATTCACGACGTTTTCTTTCTTTTCTTTTTCTTTCTTTTGGGAGGGGGCAGGGTGGAAAAATAATTTGCCCGTGAAAACATTTAAAATATGTCACTGTTTTGATACTGCATTTTGTCATTTTTTAATTTATTGCACCAGGAGGTTGGCTGGCGCAGGCCTGTCCGGGCCTAGGAAGGCCCTCCAGAGACTTAAATTATTAAAATCTCAAAATTGGGAGGTGCCAGCATAGTCTAGATCAGACCCTGCCATCCAGACCCCCTTTTGCCTACCTGGTGCTTTCTAGTCTGCGGAGTCTCAGGTGCAGGGCACCTTCCAGAGCTGCGCCTCTCACTGCGGCCACCTGGACTTCCTCTAAATGGGGGTGGTGGTCACCTAGTGAACAGAGGAGGCAGGGCCTCTGTGCGGGAATCCCTGACCTCTCCCTACACACCCTGTGGAGTATTTTGGCCCTGGGTTTCAGGGAGTCTGAGGCTCTAGTCATTTCCCCCGAGGACATGCTCAGAGCATGTGGGCTTCGAGGTGGTCTGGGGTCCCGTCAGGAGCAGGACTAAGGACAAAGTAAGAAGTGGTCATTGACAGCCCACCTGCCACCAAGGGCAGAGGTGGGCTGCTTCCTGTTCTGTTGTGTAGAGTTTTTTTGTTTGTTTGTTTTGTTTTTTTGAGACAGTTTCACTTTGTTGCCCAGGCTACAATGAGTGTCGTGGCGTCAGCCTAGCTCACAGCAACCTCAATCTCCTGGGCTCAAGCGATCCTTCTGCCTCAGCCTCCCGAGTGGCTGGGACTACAGGCACGTGCCACCATGCCCGGCTAAGTTTTTCTATATATATTTTTAGTTGTCCGATTAATTTCTTTCTATTTATAGTAGAGATGAGGTCTCGCTCTTGCTCAGGCTGGTTTTGAACTCCTGACCTTGAGCAATCCGCCCACCTCGGCCTCCCAGAGTGCTAGGATTACAGGCGTAAGCCACCGCGCCCGGCCTGTTGTGTAGAGTCTTGGCTGATGGTGCAGCACAGGATTTCAGAGTGACAGGCACGTTTCTGCCCTGGAGGCAGGTGATGATCCACCTGGTGACCACCACTGGCACTGGGACACTGTTCTACAGCGACCACCTGGACAGCAGCGAGTTCAGTCCCCACCTCTGAGGGAGGAGCTGTGTACGTGCTTATCCAGAATGGACAGTCCCCTGGCCCTGGGAGCAAACCCCCACAGCACCGGCTCCGGGGTGGGCTTCTTTCGAGACCTGGGTGTCACCCTGGGCACCCTCCCCTCTCTGTTCCTCTCTCTTCAGGACCTTTGAGATTCAGGTTGGGTGGGGTCCCAGGGGCAGAAGCCACTGGACAGGAAGGAAGTGCAGGAGGGGGTGACAGATTTGGGGCCAGCAGAGGAAGCACAGGGCAAAGCAGGATCCCCCCAAGGCTGGTGTCCAGGCCTCCCTGGGAGTTGGGGAGCACATGGCCCATATGTTCCTTTGTCACTTGGCTAAGTGGTCCCTGACCCCCATCCCTCAGCCAGCAGGGCCCACAGGACACCTGCAGACCCAGCAACTCCCTGCCCCCACCAAAGATCTAGCATTGAGTCCAAAACATCCCGCCTCAATGGAAAGGACATCGGGCCAGACCCTGTTTGTTGGCTGCCCAGAGTGTGACCTCCCAGTGAGCAGGTGGAGGCCACTTGTCTCACATGCATGGCTCCGGCACAGGGCCTGGTTGGGACCCCGCAGAGCCCATGCATAGGGTCCGCTGGATAGGAGGTGCAGCAACCCCTCTGCCCACGCCCACGCTTGGGACCCCTGGAGACGCCCAGATAGGGGTGAGTGCTGAGGGTGCCTGGGAGGGGGAGGATGAACCGGACCTCCTCTCCTCTCTGCCCACGCTGGCCCCACCCACCCAAGGGTGAGGACACCAGCTGGCCCTCCCTGGGAAGGATGGCCAGGAGGTACAAGTGGCCACAGCCCCTCAGTAAAGACTTCTCAGCCAGAGCCAGGGTGCAAGTCCACGCTGACATTTATTCCCTCCTCTAGGACCCCAGGGCCAGCCGTGCTGCTGCCCTCACCCTGGGCTTGGGGGCGGTTGGTGGGCAGCTCCGGGCTGGTCCAGTCCGGGCTCTTGTGCAGGAGGAGCTGGCTGGAGCAAGGGGCATGATGGCCCTGGTGGCCAGGCAGCTGGACACTTGAGCGGAGGTGTGCAGGGCCCCAGCTTTGACCCAGAGGCTGCCCCTGGCCCGGCCCTTGCCTGGGCCAGTGTGGCCCAGCAGGCCACAGCGGAAGCTGCTGTGTCACAGCCGAGGGTGGGCGTCCAGATGGGGGCTCTGTGACTGGGCTGGAACCAGCTCCTCCTCGGCACGCCATGGTCCTAGAGGTGCTGCTGGCCTCTTCGGGGCCTTCCAGGCTACCTGTGCCACCTACAGCCAGCGGACCCCCCGGGAGGCAGCCCTGTGTCACACGGCACAGTCCTTACTCTGCTTCCAACAACGCTGTGGTTACTGGGAGGCTCCGCAGAGAGGGTGAGACCGGTCCAGATTTCACGGCTGCTGTGCCGGCTGACAGCCTCCAGGCTGGGCTCTCCTCCCCGGGTTCCGGAGCTGCCCCTTGACGCCCCTCCCTCAGGTGACTTGGCTCTGGTGCTCTCCTGGGTCCGTTTCCAGCCCTTCGTTGCAAGTCTGGAGGTCATTCCTTTTTCAACTTGTATTTCCCAGCCTGCATGGTGTCCCCAGGTACAGGCAGATGTGCCCAGAGCCTCTTAAACCCTTCTAGCCTCAGGGTTTCCAACTGGGGGCAAAATGGGTGGTGACAAACACTAGCTTTGAGATTTCCCACGTGGTCCAGCAACTAGCGCTGCTGAGCCCAGGGAGGGCTGGGAGATGGTGAGAGGGGAGGCTCCGCCCATCTGCCCTGCCTCTGCCACAAGTGGGGCAGCCAGCGTGTCCCTTCATGGCACCATGTCTGTCCTGTGCCCCCAGCTGCCCTCCTGCTTCTTCCCTGGGGTCTCGGTTCACCCGGCTCAGCCTCACAGTACCTGGTGCCCCGGCAGAGAGCGCGGGTGGGCGGGCTGCCGCCGCCAGGCTACAGGGTGGGCACAAAGCGGATCCTCTGGGAGTAGGCCAGGTCGGCGACGTAGAGCAGCAGGTTCACGTAGGTGAAGACGGCCACCACCAGCTGGCTGTCCCAGGGGCACCTGCCTCTCGGGCAGTCGGGAGGCCGGCTGGGCTCGCCGTACTTGGGGTCGAAGCAGAAGACGGGCCAGATCACGGCGGCGCTGAGGTACAGCAGCACGGCCAGGAAGGTGTACACCACCACCAGGCGGTCAAAGGGGAAGCCCAGGCCCCCCGTGTGGCCCATCACGCTCAGGGCCACCACGGCCACCGTGGCCAGGAAGCACAGGCTGTAGACGGCCACGCACCACTGGGTGGCCGCGTAGCGCCCGTAGCGGCTGTCGTGAACCAGCGCCCCGAAGATGATGCAGGCCACGAAGGCCTGGACAATCTTGAGCAGCCCCGACACCGTGGCCATGTAGCTGGCCACCTGGCCGGGCCGGGCCCGCGTCAGGGCCACCTCCGTCGCGTAGGCCAGGAAGAGGAGCCCCGCGAAGACGCTGGCGGCCAGGCGGAAGTCCCTGGCGGCACAGCCGGCGGGCTCAGGCGGGCACTGCCACCGCGTGAAGTACAGGGGGTACACGACCGCGGCCGTGGCGCACAGCAGGGTGGCCAGCATGGCGAAGGCCGCCGTGAAGTTGCCCCAGGAGAGCCGCAGGCAGCCGTGGAGCCGCGTGAACTCGCAGGCCACCACCAGCGAGGACAGGGCGAAGCAGAAGCCCCAGGCGGCCATGCAGAAGGTGCCCTGGACGCCCGAGAAGCCGCCCCTGTGCGCCACCAGGCTGAAGGTGGTGCAGCCGAAGGCCAGCTGCAGCACGCGGGCGGTGCCCACGGGGGACGTCACGGCGCCCAGGTGTAGGTATGCTGCCCCGGGGGGCTCCATGGTGCTGCCCATCTGGCCTGGCCGGCACCGGGCCCCTCTGTCCCCGGCGGGGTGGCAGGTGCCGGCGGCCAGCCGCAGCCGAGTGGAGGGTGACAGTGCGGCAGTGCGGCTCCTCTGCTGCCTGTGTGGGGAGGCACCCCCCCACCCCGGGCGCTATAAATAGACAGCCACTATCGGAGCCCAGGAATAGCAGCCCACGCGCCTGTGCCCATCCCGGAGAGGCATCTGACCCCCAGTCCCACACGGAGCCCCTGCCGGGGCCTTTAAGCCCCGGGCTGCTAGCCCCGCCTCCCGCAGCACCTGCGCCTGCCTGTCAGTCCGGTCGGCCGGCTGTTGGGCTCCTCAGCCCCTGGGGGAGGGGAGGAAGGAGAGTGGAGAGCATGGGGTCCCCACCGGGACCGGGTCACCCCAGCTGGAGCAGCCTCCAGGGCCAGCCACCCTGGGGAAGGGGGCACAAGGAGGTGGGTGGCTGCAGCCCAGGGCTTGGGGACCTGCGAGGGTTTCCTCCAACATTTATTCCACCCTTTCTGCAGGCAGCTTGTTCCAGAGCTGGGGGTTTTCAGGACCCTGTGGACAGGGTCCCTGGGGCTCACACAGCTCTGATCCCTGGGGCGCGTGGGGGAGGGGAGCCCGGAGACCCTCATTGGCTGAGCCCCCAGCCCCACTGGGGGCTGTTTGGGGTTTGGTTATTGTTTGGGGGGATCATTATGGAGCTCTTCACTTGTCTCTCCAAGGCATGCAAACACCTAGAAAAAACTCAACTCTTCCATTTTTCAGCTAAAATATGGAATTTTTTTGAAAAAGAAAAAATTTATATGTGACTAAAATTAATACATGTTCAGGCCCAATCAATACAGGGAAAGAGAAAGAAAAATTGCCTGTAATTCTGTCACCTGGATTCAAGCCCTGTTAACATTTTGTGGTATATGAAATTTTTAGTTAGAAAAATTTCAAATCTTGAGAAGAGTTGCAGAATAGCACAACGAACCCTCCTGTTCCCCTTACCTGGATCCAAGACTCGTGACTATCTTGCTGTGTCTGAGCTCTCTCCCCGACCACCCCACTAACTAATTAGTTAATTAAGTCTGCTAATTTGACATTTCAACCTTAGATACTTCCACAGGCATCTCCTAAGACCAAGGCCCCCCCTGGAGAATCTCTGTGCGATGATCTCTCTCTTTCTTTTTTTTTAAGACAGAGTCTGGCTCTGTCACCCCGGGTTACAGTTCCATGTCGTCAGCCTAGCTCACAGCAACCTCAAACTCCTGGGCTCAGGCGATCCTCCCTCCTCAGCCTCCCGAGTAGCTAGGACTAAAGGTGAGCTCCATGAGGCCCAGCTGAGTTTCTTTCTATTTTTGAAGAGACAAGGTCTCACTCTTGCTCAGACTGGTCTCGAACTCCTGAGCTCAAGCAATCCTCCCGCCTCAGCCTCCCGGGGCGCTAGGATTACAGGTGTGAGCCACCGCGCCCAGCCATGATGATCTCTTAATACTCGGTCGGTATTTGATTTTCCCCACCTGTCACCAAAATATGCGTTATATTGCTTTAAATTTTTTCAGTCTCCATCTCACCGGGCGTCACGCATTTCCTGGGGCCGTCATGGTGTCTCAGAGCACTTTAGTCTGGAGCCTTCTCCAACTTTTTTTATATTTCGTGGTACTGACTCTTCGAAGAGTCCAGGCTGGTGGCTTGACTGTCTTTCAGCGTGTGCTGGCTGACTGCATGATTCGACTCCAAGCTCCATGCTTCTGGCACGAAAACCAGACAGGGTTTGGGCGTTAACAGCGCAACCTCTACTGGGGTGGTGTCCTGTTTGGGGTTCACGAGCTCCCCAACACTCTTCCCAGGGGGCTCAGCGTCCCTTGATGCTTCCTGTAGCCAACTTTTCCATGAACACACGCCCCTTGCAGGTGGAATCACACTGGCCATCTGCTCTAAGATGGTCCTTTATGATGTTTCCAAAGCAGTTCACGTGATACTGGAATAAAGCGTTCACATTGGTCTTCAGGTCTTCAGTCCTCAGAAGGGATGTCTGGGCACCGTCGGGGTGGGGGTGGGGGAAGATAGGCAAGGTCCACCTTCATGGTGTCTGCACTTTCTGCTCCTGGTAGCCAGACGGCTCCTGCTGGAACACAGGAGGCAGGTTCTGCACCCTCAGGAAAGATTCTGCACTTCCTGCCCCCAGGGCAGGTGCTCCTGACCCGGAAAAGAGCCGAGGGGAGGGAAGAAAACCGGTTCTGGCTCCTGCTGCCTCCTGACCACAGAGGCCTGGAAGGAAATCGAAGCAATCAGTTGAGTTTGTGTCACGCAGAGATGTACGGTGCTTCGGGTGCTTCAGCCGAAGTTCACAGCTAAGCAAGTCAAAACCTAGAACCCAGCTACGTTTCAAATGCACTCTCGTGGTGTCCTTGACCTCTCATGGTGTCCTTGACCTCTCGTGGTGCCCTTGACCTCTGCTTCCCTCCTCTCCACTTGCCCCCACCCACGGGGGCGCAGCCAGTGGTGCCTGAAACTCGGGGCGTTCAGGAAGGCCCGGCCTCAGCACTGCCGGCACTTAGAGCTGTCCTCAGGGGCGCAGGGCTGGTGCACGGGTGTGCAGGGGGGAGGAGGGCCCTGGTGGGAGGCCACCTTTAGAGGTCACGACAACCCCGGACCCCTGCTGGGCAGCCCTGGGACCCCACATCCGGCAATGTTCCAGGAACAGCGCCTGGGACTGTCCGGCGGCTCCCAGGGATGGGGACTGGCCTTGGCCAGCCCCACGGCAAGTCCACTGCGCGCTGCAGAGCAAGGGCGCCATCGGCCTGGCCTGCCCAGTCAAGAGCCGTGGCCACCGTGGGGCTGAGCCTGGGCGGGGCAGTGGGCACTGTGCTGGGGGCTCCAGTCTGATGCCACACTCGGTGTCAGCCTCTCTCCTCTCTGGGAAGGGAGGCGCCCACGCCCAGAGGTCTCTGCGTTGTTCTCCACCTGAGGACGTTGAAGCTGCTTGGCCTGAGCCACCGGCTCCCACTGGGCATTGGCCACCGACCAAAGCCTGCAGCAGTGCCTGGCTTGTCCTGCCCGGCAAGCCCAGACTCGGGGACTCAGTGCCCACCCCCTGCTGGGACGGCTGGGCCCAAACACCCCCAGGCCCTGGGTAAAGCCCGGGCCCCCTCTGATCATCTGTCCCCCCAGCTCCTGCCTGCCCGGGGCTGGGTGGCAGCCACCACATTTTCACCGGTGATGATGAGAAAAGGAAGCATCGCAGAGGCAGAAGATGAGGTGTGGCCGTGGGTCCCCCAGGGAGACCCAGGCCCAGGTCTTACTGTCGCCCTCCTGAGCGATTATCTGCTCCTTCTCTGGAAAGAGCCCTTGGGGGGCCGAGGCACAGATCACAGCAAGATCCGCTTCCTCCGCTTTGCCCCGGCTGTGCCCGCCCGTGATGCACGCAGAGTCTGGCCCCCGCCGTGTGCCAGTCCTCACCCTGCACCCCGCAGGCTCTGGTTGGCGCCCTGGGAACGGAAGCCAGCCGGGCGTCTGCCTCACCATGAAACCAGCTGGCAAGGCCCCCTGGGGACCCAGCACCCCCCAGACAGGACGAGTTCCAAATTCCAGACACCAGCTCCCTGGCTGCTCAGCTGCCGTGGCACCTTCTGTCCTCGGCTGCCGAAAATTCTCACAACGGGCAGCTTCTCGCAGGATGGAAATAGCAGAACAGTTTTCAGGGAATTTAGCTGGAAATCACCTAAAGTTTCAACAGTAGGACTGTGCCGGGCGCGGTGGCTCATGCCTGTAATCCTAGCACTCTGGGAGGCCGAAGAGGGAGGATCGCTTAAGGTCAGGAGTTCAAAACCAGCCTGAGCAAGAGTGACACTCCCATCTCTACTATAAATAGGAACAAATTAATTGGCCACCTAAAAATAACATAGAAAAAAATTAGCCGGGCATGGTGGCGCATGCCTGTAGTCCCAGCTACTCGGGAGGCTGAGGCAGGAGGATCGCTTGAGCCCACGAGTCTGAGGTTGCTGTGAGCTAGGCTGATGCCACGACACTCACTCTAGCCTGGGCAACAGAGTGAGACTCTGACTCGAAAACAAACAAAAAATATTAGCTGGGTGTGGTGGCACACACCTCTAGTCCAATAAGACCCTGTCTCAAAAAAACCCCACAAAAACCCAACAGGGACTAGCCAGTCAGGGCTGGGGCGTGCCTCGGGCTGGGAGGCACCCCAAACCCTGCCCTGACATCTCAGCTGCCTGGCTGTCATCTGAACCCTGCTGATCCCCTTTGAGTGAACGTGGGTGACGTGCACCCCGCCCCTGAGTTCTACAAGCCACCCCAGCAAGTTAGTCAAACCCAAGGAGGGGTCACCGGAACCTTAGCTCACAGCTGGATGGTCAGAAGTGGGGGTCGGCCTGGGGCAGTTGGTCCTCCCCACCTCCGGACTCCACGTCCGGGGAATCAACCAAACACGAATAGCAAATATTTGAAAAAAGAACCCAAAAGTAACAAGAAAAAATGAAAACATACAAATTTAGGAAACGGTGTAACAATTAGTTACATAACATTTACATTGTATTAAGTATTGTAACTAATCTAGAGATAATTTAAAGTCTATGGGAAAGGCCGGGTGGGTTGGCAACCCCAGCACGCCGGATCACTAGAGGCCAGCGGTACAAAACCAGCCTGAGCAAGAGTGAGACCCTGTCTCTACTAAAAAAAAAAAAAAAAGCAGAAAAAATGAGCTGGGCTCTCTGTAGTTCCAGGTACTCGGGAGGCTGAGGCTGGAGGGTCGCTTGAGCCCAGGAGTTTGAGGTTGCAGGGAGCTATGAAGACACCACGGCACTCCAGCCTGGGTGACAAAGCAAAAGTCTGTCTCAAAAAAAATAAGAATCAATCAATCGCGGCTGGGCATGCTGGCTCACGCCTGTAATCCTAGCACTTTGGGAGGCTGAGGCGGGAGGATTGCTCAAGGTCAGGAGTTTGAAACCAGCCGGATCAAGAGTGAGACCCCATCTCTACTAAAAATAGAAATAAATTAATTGGCCAACTAAAAGTATATAGAAAAACTTAGCCGGGCATGGTGGCGCATGCCTGTAGTCCCAGCTACTCAGGAGGCTGAGGCAGGAGGATTGCTTGAGCCCAAGAGTCTGAGGTTGCTGTGAGCTAGGCTGACGCCACAGCACTCACTCTAGCCTGGGGAACAAAGCGAGACTCTGTCTCAAAAAAAAAAAAAAAAAAAGGAATCAATCAATCAAGTACAGGGAGAATGTGCACAGTTACATGCAAATCAATGCCGTTATGCCGTTTTATACCCAGACTTGAGCATCATGGCTGTTGGCATCCTGGGGGGCCTGGAACCCCATGTAGATACTGAGGACGACTGTGCTCGCCACTGGCATGTGAAATGGGGTCAGCCTTGTGGGCTCTGACGCCATCTCCAGAGTGTGTCGGAACCAAGTGGAGCCGGGGGACCCACCTGTCTGCTGCAGAATCGCCTGGTCTCAGGGCAATCCCCACACACATCCGTGACCAGAGACGAAGTGTCCTGTGCTGGGTGTTGACTGTCAAGGGTGTCAGAGCAGGAAAAACACTTTAGTTTGTTCCCGTGCCAGACGCTGACCCAGCTCTAGAACCAGCCATGCCTCCCAGGCACCCTGGCTCCCGTCACAGACAATAGGGTTAGAGAGCAGGTCTGGGCGGCAGGTGTGCTCATTGTTACTGCGTTTACTTTTGCAAAAAAAATTTTTTTTTTTGAGACAGAGTCTCACTCTGTTTGTCCCGTGAGCCGTCAGCCTCAAGCTCACACGCAACCTCAGACTCCTGGGCTCTAAGTGATCCTCCCCTGCCTCAGGCCGTCTCGCAGTAGCCTGGGAGCTACAGGCATCGCACCACCCATGCCGGGCTAATTTGTTCCTATATATGTATAGTTTTTTACCCATTCCTGGCCAATTAAATTCTTCTATTTTTTTAGTAGACAACCGGGAGGTCTCTGCTCCCATTGCTCAGGCTGGTTTCAAACCTCTTCGACTCGCAGCAATCGCGCCAGCTCCCAGAGTGCTGGGAATTACCAGCGTGAGGGCCCACATGCCGGGCCTCTTTTGCAAATTTTAACAACCACACGCTTTTATAAACAAACACCATAACTTCACAAAGCGTTAAAAGGGTTTTCTCAACAATACTTGCACACACATAGACTGAGTTTACAAAAACCTCTGGTGTTGTTCTCCCCCTTTCGCGCTGCGTTGGGGGGAACAGGGTCTGGCGCCG